ATTGCTCTGCACAACAGGAAGTCAGCCAATTTTTTTTTCCATATGTTTTCCATATGTTCTTTGACCAACTGTTCCTAGAGACTTAATCAGATTCACACCATAGTTTTATTTTTCTATTAATCATTACTTGAATAGAACATATTAAAACATTTAGACAATATTATAGGTGGATTGTAAAATTAAATGAAATTATATTTATTTATTTATTTTATTAAAATATATTATTTAAGCATTAACACAATTTAATGTGTTTTACTAATGTGTTTTGATAATTTGTGGCATTGTTAACTCGTTAAACTGTAAAGGGATAGATGATAATTTGGTGGAGGATTTGAAAAATATCCGTTAATCGTCGTTAGGACGCGTATTCATTCGGATATAATAATGGTCGTGAGAGTTACAATTTCAGTCGATGAAACTACAAAGCTGGCACGGAGGTTTATATAATTACAAAATAAAGTCATTATGATTTTTATTGTTGTTAATATTATTTTATAAAGTAAGTAGCAGTAGCGTAAGATAAAGGGAGTTTTATCAGTACGTGTGACGAAGCCTTTTCTGCAACAGCTCCAACTCTCCGACGCACAGTGTAGGGGAGAGTGGGGTAAAGTGAGACATTTTTTACATTTGCTCTCCTCTAAGTGAGCTAAAATGATATATCAGTAAGATTTATACATTTCCCATTAATTGTAATGTTTTCTACCAATGAAAATTATCTAAATGTATTCAGGATGAAGGGCAGTGAAAATATGATTGTTTTTAAAAAAGTGGTCTGGTGTCTCACTTTACCCCAGCTTAGGGGTAAACTGAGACAGACCAGAGAAATCAAGGGGGTAAAGTGAACCAACTGGGGGTAAACTGATCCACTTACTTTTTATCATAGCCCTAGCTCCCTGGAAAGCGGACAACTGGTATCAGTCAGGAGTGAGTATGGGTGTGGTTAAAAGGAGAAAAGTGATCTCGACAAATACATCCAACCTAGGTTGGAGGGCCCTTTACGAGGGCAGGCTTGTCTCATAGTAAAGCCTGGAGAAACGCCTACATATAAACTGTCTAGAGATGAGCGCAGTCGCTCTATCGCTGAAAGCCTTTCTCTCGGACTTGAAAGGCCACCATGTCCTGGTCCGGACAGACAACATGGCAGTGGTGTCCTATATAAATCGCCAGGGCATTCTCAGGTCAAGGAACCTGCACGCCATGGCCAAAAAACACATTTTATGGGCTCAGCACAACCTGTGCTCCCTAAGGGCGGCGCATGTGCCATGAATCCTGAACCAGGGTGCGGATATGTTATCTAGAGACAATGTTCCCCCAGGAGAATGGTCTCTTCAAAAGGTTCAGCTAATATAGAGCATCTGCGAGGCAGAGGTTGACCTCTTCGCCTCAGAAGAGCAAGGGTGTGCTTGCCCATGATTGGCCGAGCCATCCGCTGAATGCATTCTTTCCAGTCATGATGATACCACAGGTCATCGAATGGATCAGGGAGAGCAAGTGTGTAGTGCTACTAATAACCCCTCTCTAGAAGACCCAGTTATGGTTCTCCATGCTGGTACAGCTGCGGTGGCGCTGAGGAGAGACCTCCTCATGCAGGCAAACTGATAAATTTTCCATCCCCGTGAGGCAAGAGCGCTGTCAACTAGATGCCTCTACGCTCAGAAATCAGTGGTAATTTCTGGCTGGTGCGCTGCATGGAGCCTGGACCCCTATTTGTGCGAAGTATCGAGTATACTCGCCTTCGTACAAGAGAGTTTGGACATTTACATTCAAAATGTATGTGGCTTTGATCAGGGGATCGTTTCAGTCGACTTAACCTGACTACCTTTGGCTGAACTGGCCAATATAAAGGCTTAGGCCACACCCATTCTGGATGGCTTTGACATGCCACGGCACGAAGCAGCCTGATTGGTTCTTTCGTCTGAGCCGCCTCTCCACGGGTTCATGCAGTTGCCACAGCACATCCAATGTCCGCACTAGCCGTTCATCTGTGTCGTCTGCAGCTGCTCAGCGTTTGAAAGATTTTGGCTTCAATATTCCACATTTTTAAAACAGACCTCTTCTCAATATCTTGTCAGGCTTGTCAATAATTGCAGCTGCTCTTATAGACATCTTTCCTTCCTTGACCTCAGCGACCTCATCTCCTCAAGGGGTGTTTTGCTGGTGTATTATCTTGGCATGATGGCTTTTCTACAATGTTTATGACATTAAAAAAATAAAACATATGTAATGTAATATTACATTAAAATATTTTTAAGACTAAACTTAACTTGTGCCTCATGTCTCACTTTACCCCATAGTATTTGTCTCACTTTTTACCCCACTGCCACATTTTAGCAAAAAACGATCTCTCTTAGTAATTCAGGATACTCTTCAGCTATCATCATCACATGGTTTTATATGTTAATAGTTCATCAACTTGTATGATATGATTTTTTCTACCTGAATCAATTTGCTTTACCACAACAGTTGATTAAGTTGACAGCAAGAAAATTTACTTTTACATGCAAAAAACATATTTTTGTGACCGTGGGCCATGAGCTCCTCTCCTTTATGGCCTTGGGGAAATGGAATGGGCTTAAAAACATAATGGTCACACAGCCACAATTGTGTTTTGTTGACCAGATACAGGGGGTGTCTCACATTACCCATGTCTCACATTGCCCCGCTCTCCCCTAAACGTCAGCGTCCGAATTCACTCACTTCATCTCGTTCACTCCTTGCAAATATTGTGCACTCAAATGCCATACACTATAGACTCCTTTTCAGTTGGTAAACATGGTGACGTTTTTTGTGGGCAGAGCTTAGGTGGAGGCAGAACGATCCCTCTGGCCGCTTCACTAATGCTAGTTAGCATGTATTGTTAGCTTGTTTTTTAACAATGACTGGAGAAAATCCGATATTATCTTAATGTGTAAGGTCACTCAGTGTCCAGGACCGCGATTGTTATTTCCAAAAGTTATCTTTAACAGACGGAACCAGATTGGCCGACCTGTAGCCGCCTACACGCTCATTCAATGCATAGACGATCTGACAGGATTAACGTACGTTACCTCGGTTGAGTGGCCTGACTTCTACATCTACCTTATAGAAAAACTGATCGTAAAGAGAAACTGAGGGCATATAAATCTTTAGATGCCTATATGGTCCTGTACAAGACTTGTGTGTATGATCCGCAGTTCTGCCGAGCCAGCGCCGAGACCACGACAATGTAAAGAGTGACATTACAGTGCGATTTTAATGATGTGAATATTTTCTAGAAATAAAAGTTCCAGATACAGCATATTCATTTTTCATCAATTCTTGCACCAAACAACAACAAGATGACATTTAATAATAGTAACAATTATTTAAGCTCCTTATTATGTAGCCAAATCTGTGCTGGTTTGTATTGGCCGCCTCCAGTTTTCACTTTGTTTTGCCTCCAGCTAGCGTCGTGACGTAACTGACGTCGGCGCAAAAGGGGTCTAATAGTGAATGAGTGAACGAGTGAGCGGTTTCAGATACAGCTTTAACAGTGCATTTCGAGTCGTACAGTAATGCCTACAGAGTCAGCGTGCTTTATAGAGATGGACCAGGGATAGTTTAGTAGTTTAATTACGGTTATTATAACGTATTTGTCATCTGCTTGTACACGTATCCATTATCTATTAATAGTCTACAAGTCGGACCAGGTCCGAATGATGATCAAACATATACTGATGAGTTTAATAAAGTTTATTGTACATCACACAAAAGATGAAGTGTCAGTTTTACTTCAGAAAATCACCGTAAGAGCTGAGTAAACAGTAAGTTATAAGAAGTGCGCAAGTTGAGGGAGCGTTCCTGGGCGGACGTTAGTCAAAAAACTGTTCTACTGACGTCATTAAAGAAGGAAGTAGAGGGATGTAGTCAAAACAGGCCGTTCGATGTGCAGTAGGCTACTTCTGTTAAATAAAATATCTCGCTTGGCATTGAACTTTGAGCTTTATAATTTTACAGATATTATTTATACTCTAACAACAACATTACACACTAACTAAAGTTTGAAACATGGGATCACGAAGAAGGAGACCTTTAAAAATAAACTCTGCCTCTCTCTTCTATTTGTTCTTCGATTATCCTAATACCAATGCACAGTTTTCACCAGTTCATAATTTTAAAAACAATGGTGGGAGAGTCAGACAGGATTCAGGTACCATATTTATTTTAAAGAAATTCACTTAAAAATATTTAAATATGTAAAACCTACAGCGTCATGCATGGGTTCAGTCAGCTGCTGTTGCTGAGTTATGACAGTTTCAAGGTTTTCTTAAGGAGTTTAAAAGCAGTTTCTCTAACTTTGACTTAGGAAGTGTAGCTTGAACTTTTCCTTCTGAAGTACACCTGTGTAACGTCACTGACTCCGCCCACACATACAGATCTCTTCCTGCTCTCAAGAAGGCAACGGGGAATTCAGCATAAGGAAGACTATAGGTATGATACATACTTTCTTATACATATCTCTGCATGTAATAAGACATTTACGTATGAAATGCACTAAAACATGAGCTTATTTTAACCATGAATGTAAGAAACTGTGAGAATGCAGGTACATTAGAGAGTTTCACTTTCATTTCTGTTACAGAACCGTATCAGAAACAAATCTGCGTATTAAAAGACTGTTTAGTGTTGAGATGTATGAATATTTGCTGATGTGTAATTAAGTTCAATCTTTTCTATGTAATTCAGAGTTTGGCATATTCCTATCCTATATGAGAGTGAGTCAGTGTGTGTTTGTTCAGTGGGAATCAAATCAGTGACACATATTGGGCAGGTTTTCAGGAAGCTTTATGGTCTTCTAGTTGAGATTCCCTGTTCAACCTTGTTAAATAGAAAACCGAACCGCAACAACATGCACAAACTACAGAACAGGATAGAGCTTTAAATTGTCTAGACTAATGAAAATTGACTGTTTGTTTGGAAATCTCTAAAATCTCTCACAGGACGAGATCTCAATCTCAGGACTGGGATGAATCTCTTACAGGATGATGATCAGACAGATGTGAGAAACCAGAGAAGATGATTGACTGAAGAATAAAGAAAGATTCAGAGGAGAAAACAGAATATCAACATGTCGACCGCTGGTGAGAATCAGAGAAAGTTTCAAATAATTAATCAAGAATATTTTCACACAATTACTGTGAATGAGTCAAAAATAATGCAAGACTTGTGTTTCATTACAGTGATTGTTGCTCACAATCCTCCTCGCAGGAGAAACAGCAAAACCGAACCTCCTATGAGTAAGTCTTTATCTACATAAATGCATGAAGAGTGTTTAGAAATTATGGGCAATTTACCCCTATCAAAACAAGTGGCACCTTCCGTCCTCAGTGTTTCGTCGACTAGCCCACGACCAGTGTTGGGAGTAACGCATTACAAAAGTAATACATTACAGTAACATATTACTTTTTGCTGTAACGCAGTAGTGTAAAGCATTACTAATCAATTTTCAGTAATATTTTACTCTTTACATGTTCAGTGAGGCTTGTATTACAGTTGTATTACAGTGAGGCTTGACGTTTAGTTTTAATTGTAAAAAAAAAAAAAATACAGCAAGATCGTGAGACATTAACGAATGGAAAATGCAAGTAGGCTAAGTTACCTGTTCGTGGTCAGTCAATAGCCACGTGTGGTGTCCAGTTTGTAAATAAAGGCTGATATATCTGTATAGCGATTTATTTTCTACAGGAGTGCGGTGAGGCATGATTTCGGCCTCTGTGCTCGCGCTGGTCAGTGGAAAAGCGCCTAATGGGTGAGGATGGCATGAAGAAGACCACATTCGTGAGATGGACGTATGCACATTAGGCTATTCGTTCTGTGTTTTCTTTTTGAACAGTTAGGCTAGGTGGTACTTGTAATGTTTTCCTCACGCAATCATGTTTTTGATGCGGTGGTGACGTGTTCATGTAGTAATGGCGATAATAAAGCTCCTAAAAGCTGATGAAAAAGCAAAGATTATGAATATGTCAAATATGCCTATAGCAAGGAGACTTGAATTGTTTAGTAATAAAGATGAAGTTGACGATGCTGACTCGCAATCTTCGCAGTAGGCTAGTGAATGCGAAATGCACGTTTCATTTCATAAGCAGAGAGCAGTCTGTTTTCTTTTGTTTTGAATTGTTCTGTTTACAAGTAGACATTTCAGTATAGATATATTTTTCAGGTCTGTGGAGTAGGCTATACTTATACGCTGAGTTTCGGTATAGCCAATTGGCTATTTATGAGACGCGCACCAGCACGCCCCCGCGGCTTATCTAATATTGTCTGCTTTTACTTCTTAAAGGCAACAGACTGTGAAAGTTTTAAAGCAGTCTTTTAGTGCCAGTTCAGAATTACAAAAAATATATATTGCCTCCTATTTTTTTGTCACGCATGAATGTGTGTCTTTTCCCTAATATTAAAAATAATGTCTGGAGTCATTTAAGGAAGTAGCCTATATACGTTTCAAAACATTATGTATTTTCTGAGAATTTTTATTTCAAGTTTTGACTGCAATGTCATGTCCATAATGCTGGACTTCCCCAATTTTAAATAATTTATCCTCAACTAGTTTTGTGGTGTAGGTCTACGTATTTTATAATGTTAACTTCAAATAGTACTAATAGACTAATTTAAAGATAAGGTAGCATTGGATCTGGACGGTAAGGAGAATAACGCTGGGAGTTGGAAGAGGTGTGTCACGATTCTGTAGGTTCGTGGATCTGAGTGCGGCGAATCGCGATTTCATATTGCATATCGTTAGAAGCCCCAAAGTTAAGTTCTACTTCTGTAGTTATTTTGGTGAAAGTAACTCAAAAGTAATACATGAGTAATGTAACGCATTACAATTCTGAGACAGTAATATTGTAAGGTAATGAATTACTTTTAAATAACAGTAGCCATGTTTCCATCGACACGTTTTTATCCGAATAAAGTGATATCGAATGAAAAAAGCCTTATGGAAACAGTAAAATTCGATGAAATTTCATGAAAATCGACTCAAATGAAATACGTTCGGTCTCATCGAATTTTCTCTTGATCGATATACGGCTAATGCGATAAAAGCTGATGGAAACGTTATTTGCCGAATAAATAATGAATTGCGATTAAGTTTTATGCCCTTTTATGGTTGCAACACGTCAGAAGACGAGTTCATTTCCGGCCAGTCTGTTTGCGCACACATGGCGGATGTCAACAAAGACAGATGTAAGTGGACAAAGCAAAAAGATGCTTCAACCATAGGGTTTCCGTGAACCACGATCTCCCAGAACTGATGGAGCCCTCGTTCCCACACCACAGTCACCTCCGCTGTCGTCGGGCATACGTGCATCGTCATCATCATAGCAATGTTTATAGCATCGTTGTTTTCTTAGGTTAGTTTTGCTTGTTTTTACGTGGCTTGGTTGAATTGTAATGTAGAATGTGGTCTGTTATTTCTAGTTAACAGACTGCGGCGCTGCTAGTATAACACACCGTTGCCATGGACGCAGTTCAGAGACGGAACAGACTATTTTCTTTAGCAGAAGCAATACTCGTTTTTAAATCAATAAACTCGTCTTTAAGTCAATGTTTTGTGTCAAATTATTGATTTATTTATTTATTTGGTTGATTTATATGTAATAAGCAGGATAATATATAGCGAGGCGGTTGTTATAGCGAATACAACAACCGTCTCGCATACATTATCCCATTCATATGTCGCTATCAGCTGGCACATAAGCATTATTAGCCTTCAACTTGTGAAATATTGATAATTTTTTGGTAGATGGCGCGATCCGTTTTGTCTAAAAAAACTTTGTTCGCAAAAGTTTGCTTGAATGTTGTTCGATTCAGTGCGAAAATAAATGGAAACACCTTAAAATGTCTCAAATCAATTCGATATACCAATTTGATCGCAAAACAGCATGTGACGTCATTACGTACAGGTTTTTATTCGCTTTAAAGCCGTTGGATGGAAACACACTTTCACCAGCTTTATCCGCATGAGTTTTTTAACCGAATTTCAGATAATTCGATTGACAAGTGGATGGAAACATGGCTAGTAACAAGTAATGCCTAATGTATTACAGTTTGGTAGTAACTTGCACAACACTGCCCACGACACCTCAAGAGGGCTCGACAGTGACCCTGGCGTCCCAGAGTCACCCCCCTCCGTCCCCCACTCAACCCAGCCCAGCTTACTGACCCCTACAGAGACCTAACCACGATCACGCGCAACACAACCATACGCGCCGACCCGTTTGATAATGGTGGTCAAGCCCCACTGGTGCATAATAAAGCAGTTTTAGTGGCAAACGGTTCCATGTGGCATACCACGTACCGCAAACCACAATATCTGGCCAACCACCGTCATTCAAACAATATACACAGGAACATAATGTACAAACAGACTCTTCAAGAATTCTACGAAACCGTAGCATGGCGGCCTGTACATAGCCAGCTAGAATCTTTCCGTCTCAACCACAGCCAGTTGCTGCTCCTTTCTGCTGCTTCAGATAAGTTGTTAACCATGAGACGCAACTCTTGGCCACTGAATCCGACGTTTTTGAGGAACCGGATTGTAGAATGTGCCACAAAACCTCGACAACCCACTTCCACTGGATAAACCTGGACTCTCCATCCTCGCTGCTCTGCCTCAGTGGCCAGATGAGCATACCACAATTTCTTCCTCTCATATGCTTCATCTACTGCATCCTCCCATGGCACTGTAAGCTCTATCAGCTGAACAATGCGTGCTAATCCAAACCACAAAACAATATCTGGTCGTAGGTTAGTGGTAGCAATCTCAGGTGGAAAAATAAGCCATTGATCAAGATCAGCCAGCATCTTCCAGTCCCTAGCAGTTTCCAGTTGTCCTGGGTGAGAATTGGTGTTAACACCTTTTCTTGGTGGTTGCTAGCCTGGGCGGGAATATTGTCTTCTGCGTGTAATGTTTAGCAGGCTGCAACTTATTGGTCATACTACGCTTGCCCTCCAATGCTAAAGCCAAACATCGCAGTACTTGGTCGTGGCACCAAGTAAACCGACCCTGGCTAAGACCCACCTTACATCCTGTCAGAATGTGCCTTAATGTGACAGGTGATGAACACAAAGGACAAGAGGGATCCTCTCCTACCCAGAGGTTTAGGTTCTGTGGTGATGGGAGGACATCATATGTTGACCTCATAAGGAAACTGATCCTACTCTCTTCCATTGACCAAAGGTCTTGCCAGACCAACTTGCATTGTTCCACACTCTCCCATCTCATCCACTCTCCCTGCTTGGCCTGGGAAATGGCCTTTATACACCTCATCCTCTCCTCCTGCTTTTGCACCTCGTTGACTACCAGCTTCCTCCTTTGAGCTGGGCCTGCCTTGTGCCATTTAGGAGGAGCTACACTAAGCCCAAAACCCCCTCTTCCATGCTGTACCTGTCCCACAATATCCCCAATTTGAAGGGAAGCCTTTGCCTGTACTACAGATTTCTCTGCTGACCACTTCCTACCAGTTTTTAACACAGGTGCTGCCTCCCTTACACATTTGTCACGTGACTCTACTAAGGTCATTTCCAGCCTGAACGTGGCACACTTAAACTCCTCGGTTAAAGCAGAGACTGGCAGCTGCAATATTCCTTTACTATAAAGTCCCACTATACTGAGGCAGCATGGAACTCCCAACCATTTCATGATGTATGAACTTTAGGGGTGGGCGATATAGCCTGAAAATTATATCACGATATTTCAAGAATATTTGCGATAATGATATTTATCACGATATAGAAAAAATATATATGAAACAATGTTTTATTGGTGATTGCAGCTGGCTGGCAGCAGCATTAGTGCTAAAAAAAAGTATAACATAACTCCTTATCATTTTATTTTAACAATAACTACAGTAATACATTAACAATAACTTCAGAAGCCTGCACAATATTGTCACCTAATAAAATTTACCTAAACTTTGAAGTACAAAAAATTTAAACAAACAGCGGCAATCCAAACAAACCTTCAAAATGTAACAGTTGCCTTGCATAGTTTTTGGATTAGCATCAAATGAGGTATACAATACCTAATTTATACAATAATTGTATAAAATCGGAACATTTAGGGAAAAAAAACATTTAGTGGGGAATAAATAAGAGACAATTGTAACACTAAATCTGATAAAACTTTACACATTGCTCTTTGTATTGTACATTCATGAAAAAAAAAACAAGGTAACAACTCAAAAGGATTAATTATTATATAGCCTAGTCTACTATAAAATTGAGGCATGTTTAAAAT